CTGTACACTAGGGGATAAAATATAGGTTCTGCAGGCATATTTATTTGTGGCATTTCCTAACTCCCCATGAACTTGATTTTCTTTCCACATGCTAATTAGCAATTTTTGTAATCTGCTGATTTTCTAGTGTGGTTTATGTTTCAGTTGCATACCATGGATATACAGAATGTGATCTTATGCATAATTCTCTTAATATTTCACTTTTACATATTTTGAATATGAAATAGTATATATGTGTATGTGTTTTTGTACATATTTCATGATATCGTTATTACCTGCCCATTGGAAATAATCAAATATGGAGAAAATTGTGCCTGACACCTGAATTTTGAGTTTAGTCACAGTCATTTCCCCACACTTTTATTTGCACAAGCAGAATTTTAGTTGAATAATTATTCAGATTGTCCATCTGAGCAAGAAATGTCATTTGCTACTGTGTGTTTATTAGTTTCGTATTTTGGAAAACTGTAAACAGTCAAAGATCAGGAACAGTATTAGACTTAATTTCACTACTATTGTATGAAAGTAAGACTTTGACTGTACCTGCAATGTCTTTTTGCTTCTTACGACGCATTAAAAGTGCTGTTCAGTGTCCTGTCTACTTAGATTGGGCAAAATGACCTGGAAATCACATTTTGAGCCATGGTGTGGGGTAGCATGTGGGGGCAGTGTTCTGTGAATCCTTTGAGTCAGACATGCGTGGGGTGTGACTGTAAGATGTTCGAGCCTCCCGTGCTCCCTTCCAGTGCTCTGTTATGATTCTTGCTTTCCTATGAAAGAAAATGAAATGTATGTTTGAAAATAAAGCACATGCTTTAACTGATGGAGAAAAAAAAAAAAAGCAAATGGATAATGACAACCTGTGGGCAGAAAAATGTTTATCTATCTAAGCTGCTAGCTGTGCGATTCACCATTAATCAGAGGGCCTCATGCTGCAAAATGATAAATTTCATCCTCCATGAATGCTTATAAATAATATAAATATTTACAGAAATCAGCATTCATTGCAGAGTGTTCATTAGAATCGGATATTGCAAAGCATTTGACCAACTATATGATTGTATAAGGACTGGTGAGTGGCTTTTCAACCTCACCTTGCATTTATTAATTAATGGGAGTAGGATGTTGAAACTATTATATAACTGACGTTCAGTCAAGCTTAAGAGAAGAGAATACTGAAAATATATTAGAACTCAGTTTGGAAGAATAGCCTAGAGTTTAGAAGTTGATGACACTTGACTTCAGATCTCTCCAGTGCTGCAACAAATGATTTAGGTACCCCTTTACTTTCTCTATTCCGCAGCTTACCATCTGGAAAATAGGGAAAAGGTTTTCGTTCCATACCTGAAGAGTCAAAGGTAATCAAATAATGTAGCAATTGATTTCTTAACCCCTATCCCACTTCCCTCAAGATACATATTGCTCATAGAATGAATAAACTGTAGGTACTGATACCAAAAGCAATATCCACATATAGATTATTGCGTATATACTGTTATTATTCATGAAATGAGATTTACAGAACTGTCTGTCACTGTACGTGTACAGAATATCATTTATGTTTTAGAGCAATGTGTAATTGCTTTATTTATCTTTGTTGGATTAAGGATAGAATAAAATGTTTCCAATTAAACAATAGTGATCTCTATTGTCTTTGTAGAGACAGCTGCTGCTAGTAAAGAGAAAATAGTTCTCCTAAAATATTTTCCTTTTTAGTATGAGGTGTATAAGACAAGTAAAGACGCTTGCATATTCATCTTGTTTTGGAATCACTTCAGAATCACCTTAGAATGTCTTTTGTTAAAAGCAAGAGAAACCTCTGCATTTGCTGGTTTTAAGGCATGTTTGCAATGCAGAAGAGCACTGCTTTCTCAAAAACATTATTGATGACTGCTGTTTAGTAAAATGATTAATTTGGTTAAGTGTCAGTAACAAACTTCTGCAAAATTAATGCATTTAAAATCTGAGAGGACTTAATGTTCACAGGGACAATCAAAATTGCTTTTTGATTATGACAGAATTTTTCCCAGGCTCTGATAGGTTTCTAAAAATCTTTAGGTTTAAAATTCTGTGAAATCTGCACCTACTGACTCCATTCTCTCTAATGATTGAATATATCTTAACATAAGTAAGAAACCATTAAAGTATTAAAGAAATTTCAGAAATTTAAGAATTAAGAAAGTATTAAAAATATGCTAGTATTTGCATTTTTTTTCCACTTACGGTAAAGCAGGACAGCTTAATTCATTAATTCATTAAAAACACCTAAAAATAAAGTGCAATATGAATATATCTTTAGCTAGTTATACAACTCTCAATGATTCTGGTCATGGTTTAATCAAAAAGATGAGTAAAATTGCTATCACTCAACTAAGCAGCCCAGAAAAATAGATCCTGTTTTGCAGTGCACATTTGTTAACCCTTGTTAATGCATTACTTAGCTGAGGAAGCAATAACATAGTAATTCTTTTATCTATAATCTCAGAAGTGGAGTAGATTTTCTTTCATTCCTTTTTACTGTAATTTTTTTCTTGCCAATAATAATACTAACAATAACGAAAATAAAATTTGTATCGTGATTGATCTCAGTAAATACAGAGTGTGTCCTTCAAGTGCAAAAAGTAATTTAAGTTTTCACAATATCTGAGAATATTCCCACAGTGCTTTACCAATAATCCTGCATTTCCTATGTTCTGTTCCATTATTTAGTGCACAAAATGACTTTCTTGAGTGTGCAACCTAAAGTACTTCTTTGATATATCAGTTCTAAACTTTCCTAGTCATTTTCAAAAGCAAATACTATTCATACCTCTCAAAAGTGTTTTCTTGCCCTGAAGCAATGTATTTGCCCCAAATTGTTTTGGGTTCTGCTGTGGCTTCCATAGAAACCGCTTTCCCTAATGTAGTTAGTGTCCTTTTATCCTGTGCTAATGAAGAGTCTTCAAACTCATTTTAGTACTTGACATTGTTGATAATCTCATCTTCTTGAACCATCTCATAGCAATCCTAGTTATCATGAGTTACTGTCCTAACAATCTAACCTTTTTTTTTTGTCTTTCAAATTTTGGCTGTTTCTCTGTGCTGATAACCGTTGTCTATAGCATAGCAAGGTTAGACTCATGATCTTCCTTTTCCTATGTTCAGCTGCACAGTCTTCCTCTTCTTCCATGTCTACACTAGCAAGGCTCCCAATATTTTATTATAATAGTAAATTCTAAATTATTTCTGTTACATGTTTTAAGGAGAGAAATAGCAGGTTAACAATTTCATTGTCAACATTAGAATTATTATTAAGATATGATTTCACGAAGAAATTTTTGTCTTTGTGAATATGCAGAAGATGTAAAATACCTATAGAAAAGGTATCTTTTTAAAACAATCTTACAGGAAAACAATGATTTTAGCATAGCTATATTTACCCAATGATTGTGAATCAAAACATTATACTTTCTATTTTTGTGTAGATGCATTGATTTCCTGCGATAGGATATATTAAATAGTAATAATACTCTTTGAAATAAGTTGTATCTGGCAGCAATATTAATGATAATTAATTCATTAATGAAGTTCATTAATGAAGTTCCATCTAAACCTGAGGAAAAACTTCTTTCCTGTGAGGGTAACAGAGCACTGGACCAGGTTGCCCAGAGAGGGTGTGGAGTCTCCTTCGCTGGAGATATTCAAAACCTGTCTGGATGCAACCCTGGGAAATATGCTCTAGAGGACCCTGCTTGAGCAAGGGGGTTGGACTGGATGATCTCCAGAGGTCCCTTCCAACCTTAACCATTCTGTGATTCTGTGATAGTAAAGAATCAGTATTTTCAGTGGCTGAATGAACAGCTCTTGGGTTTGGTACAAAACCGGGAGGGAGATCAGAGGAATTATTGCTGGACTGGTAAAGACTAACAAAATTATAGGTGCATCCCAACATCTACAAGCCTTTTGTGATGCACAGGCAGACGTTATAATCTTATAATTTACAGCAGAGATTAAAAATTGATTTTCTCTAATATTAAAGTTAGTCTAAATCTACACTGTATAATGACTGGAGGGGATGCTATGATATCTTTAAAAGACATTGTTCTTTTGTACATGAGTATAGAAAAACTCAGAGAAAAAGTCAAGAATCAGAAATTCTAGAATCAGGCTTTACTAAAGAAAAAAAGACTTCATACTAAATTTTTTTTCTTAACAAGTTATGTAGCACAATTAGTTGTAGCTGAATTTTAACAAAATCTTAACCAAAGTTAAGTAAGGATTCAGAGCATGCCTATGTTCGACATAAATATATTTGCATTTCAATATCCTTTGACATTGTTTCTAAATTATTAGCTATTCAGTGAGCATAACTGATTAATTAGATGAAATTCTAATGACAAGGCTGAGCATATTTTAATGTAGAAACATGTAATAGAAGGTTTGATTAATAATGAAAATTGCAAAATATCATCTTTCATTGGAAACATGGATATAGTTAATCTATGAAATGAGGAAAAAAAGACTCCTGTTATTTAGATCTCCAGTGCTGAAATAAAATGTTTTCTGAGATATTATTATTAAATCATCTTGACTGGAAAATGTGATGCCCATGTAAATCTATGTTATTTTTGAAAAAATAATCAAGTGAATAGTCATTAAAAAGCAAAGTTGATTTTGAATTTTCTTCTACGACCAATGACTGTTAACTGTTGAGGTTAAGACATAGGGATTATTATTCTTATTGTCAGCATATACTGACTTAAGATAAAAAAAAAAAAACCCTAAACAAACAATACAAACCAGGTGAGATCCATTTGAGAAAAGGTGCTGAAAGTTACACCTCTAACTAGTTAACTTTAACATATGTTTACATATATTTGCTGGAGAACAATGTTTCATGTGTAAGGTACTGTGAAAAATTCAGTTCTTTGCATCTATGCAATCCATGTATATTTAGTTTTAATCTTTTGAAGTCAAAGTAAGTTCTGTACTGTCTGTACGCTGAAAAATTTCAGTGTCTTGTAGAACATGAGCATAGCGATTCTGCATAACAGGCCTTCCCTAATTCCCATTCATAACAGGCCTTCCCTAATTATTCAGCTTTAAAATCTTGCCTTAAACTGGCTCAAGGGTCCCAGAATTAGGCAACAGGATTGAATCGGCGCTTATTAATTCTGCAGTCATTTCCACTGGTGAAACGGCATTGACTTCAATGCATTTTCTCTTGGATAATTCACATTCTGTCCATAATAGGCAAGGATGAGTTGAGAGTTTGGACAATTTGCCACTTCAGCATATGCCTGGAGTCAAATATTTGCTTTGAAACAGTTTTGGTGGTGGTGGTGGTTGTTGTTTGTTTTGTTTTGTTTTGTTTTTAAAGGCACCCATGAAAATCTGTTACATTGGCACAGGGAGAGGGTCCATGACATTGAGTCACGACACTTCTCCCGTTTATTTGTTCCACCTGGCTGCCTTGCGTGGCACTCCCATCGCCCTCGCTTTGACACGTGCCCTCGCTCTCAGCGGCACAGAGCAGCGCTGCAGGCCCGAGCTGTGGCCTTGCCAGCTGTGGTCGTGGGGGCCCCCGGTGCGGCCCTGTCCTGCTCGGCGTCCTGGGCGTGCTGTGGGCTCTGCTATGTGCTTCTGAGGTTGCCTTCTTCTCCAAATACTCCTCCAGCTTGAAAGCAGGAGTGCAGGGGACAGTATCACACATGCTGGCGTGGATTCTGGTGAGAAGAGTGTGCCAGAAAAATTACAGAAGAAATGTAGAAGTGGCGGGAGAGTGAGTCTGAAGCTTGAGACTAGGTTAAAACACAGTGCCTTAGTGAAATAACGAAAATGCTTTCAATCCAGTTCACAGTTGATGCATGAGACCTTGTCTGTGTTTTTCTACATAGCAGTTTCATTGATATATCTGCAAATAGCAAATTTGCAAGTATGTGGTGCACAGTTCAACACTGATTTCTCTTTAGGGTAAACCAGTCTGCAAAGAGCATGCTGTTATGCAGTAATATGCTGTGGCAGGCAACTGCCCTAGAGTGCTCTTCATAGCTGTATAACTAATATTAAAACTGCTGTATTGTTAAGGCTTAAGTTTAGAAGTACATATGGTTGTTGAACTACTTTTGTTGTTTGTCTGAAGAATTTTCTATGGGCCCAAGTTAACAACACATACGTTAATAAAAGCTTCTTAATTTCTTCCCCAAGAATTTAAAAAAAGAAACAGGTTATGAGAAACTGAATTATTTCCATAATCATATTTTTCCTGTGCTTGATTAAAAGAACCATTTAAGGAAACATGTTCTAAAACAGTTTTTTATAATCTTTTCTATATAATAGATTTCCAACTTGCTATGTAGATATGACATCATAATAAAGCACAGAAATTTGTATTCTGGAAGGAATTTTACATTTTTTATACATGGAACTAAAAAAAGAATAAATTTGAAGCTTCTATTAAAAACAAAATTTTTTAATGTTGGGAGAATAATTTCAAATGTATTTGTGATACTGGTCAAACATTTCATTTTGATAATTTATCTTACTTAATTTTATATGTCTGTCTTATTGGTTTTATTGAACTTATTTTTTTTTTAGGTGGAATAAAATTTGATGAAAATTAATGTATTCAGTGCGCTCAGCTGGTAAATTTCTTATGTGAAGCATGAAATAGTCTCCAGACTTGAGGACTTGGCCTAAAATATTCAGGCTGCAATATATAACAACAACAACAGAACTGAGGATGAGATCAGCTTCACAGACTTTTTATGGCTATAAGCTAAGAGGAAGATTTGCACATCTTTTCCCTCAGCTTGCAGTGTGGCAACCTCGATAGCGAAGGACTAATCCACGTTCCTGAGCGTCCTTTTTGGGTTCTGCTTCATCCCGCCCCGGCAGAGGTGCAGACTGTGGTTCAGGGGCGCACAGGGAGCCTCGACTCTGTGCGTGCGTGCGTGCGTGCGTGCGTGCGTGCAGCTACTCATCCCCTCTCGCTGAGAGGGTTCGTTCTGTCTGTGGGTGGCATTTTGGCCAAAGTGGGCAGCCTTCTCGGTGGCAAGGGAAGCAGGACAAAAGCAGTAGGAACTGTTCAGAGAACCCTACTCCCTGCTAGCATTTTTCTAAAGAAAACAACAAGGTACTGGATTTCTCCTCCCTCCCCCTCCGCCCCCCAACCCCATCTTCTTTTATTCTGTATGTATGCCAGTATGATAATGGCAGAACATCAGCTATACGTCAGAACTGCATTATGCAAAAAATGGGAAAGAATAAAGAAAAGGTCCGCATGGGAACGCTAATATTTATATATGAATGCAGGATAGAGAATGTGTATGTGCTATTGAGATTTAAATTTCCATATCTGACATATTGGTGATTTGTTTTTCTTTGACTACACCCTGAGAAGCACCACGAGAAATATATGCTGTTAACAGCTGATACATTGAACATCATGTTTAATAATTTTCAAAGATAATCAAAATACTTAATATTTTCTTGTGCTTTCTTCAGTATAATGCTGAAGCTAAGGCCAATGAAACACTTTTCTTTTTTGTTTTTTTATGTTCCGTAGGATGCAGGAGAACATATAAATGACACATACTGGGCTGATTCAAGCATTTTGCTGTATTAGCATAAACATTTCTTTTTGAAAACAAACGCATAAAAAGCACAGCAGGATTGTAAATTTGGCATTACCATGCCCCAGAGGGTTTATGCTTATGTAGTAGTGTTAGCAAATGAGAGCTTTCTTCCAAAAAATAGAACTTTGCCATATAAAGACAATTTGATAGGGGTATCTTACAGATATACGCAAAGGTTTGCCAGTGGTGAAGCTCGGCAGGACCAGGTTCTGCCTCTCAGTACTATGTCATTAAAGAGAAGGAATCTGCATACAATTATTTAATATTGCAGATGCTACTGCTGTAAAAGAAGAATATGGTCTTAATTCATTCTCCTTCCATCCCTTATGCCTTAGCAGAATGGTTCTCTACTATGTTATTGTTTGTTCTTTGCCTAGTTAATTTAAATTGTATCAAGTAAACAAGCTTCTACATTTGTCCTGGGGAGATAATTCTCCAGTCTAACAGATATCAGTACTTGGATATTGAATTTCCTCTTAGTCACTCTGTACTTTCCCATTCCTATTTCTAAATGGAAAACTTTAAGTTTTTGAAGGAATATGTCTTGTAGACCATACCCAATATTTAGAGTTTTTTCCAACAGACTTCTCAAATGTTTATGGTGCATTTCTACTGTATAAAGCTGCTTGTTTTTAAAGGACATTTCCTGATTTTTTTTTTTTTAATTTTCATTTTATTTTAACATTTTGTGATTGTACACACAGGGCGTTAGCCGGATTATTTCTTAATCCATGCATCATAAAAAGCTTTGACTTCAGACTTTTTTTACTACCATAAAATATTCTCCTTCCCTCTCTTTACCTTTTCCCTCCATCAGTTCTAACTGCAGAACTGTTGCTGATGCATGAGCAGAAAAGGAGCACAGTTTGAGTTCCTGAGTCCATGCTGTGCTTGAGGCAATGGTAAGAATAAAAACAATATTTTTGCTAGGAACCTGAGCCTATATGATCTTGAAGTTACTGATATTTAATAAATTAGGAACCTCCATTTTTTGTAGTGCTGTTTACTATGATAGGATTATATTTTTCATTAATGATTGGAATATATGTAAGTTCACATCTTAGAAGAAGGAATCATACCTCAAATTATTTTGAAGAAAGTAATTTTTTAAAATATGAACAACCTAGTTTAAAAAATAAGGTAGGTTTGGAAATTAGATTAATTAGCCCTTGAATAGTAATTATAGACTATTTATAGAATTTGCTGCTGAAAGAGGCTTATACCATCCGGTTATCAACAAAAGTCATCCAGAGAGTTATCCTCTTCTAGTTTTCTGAAAATCAATACTATGCTGCGTATGCATAGCCTTCAAGTCTGCAAGTCTGTTCTTGATCACTGATAAAGTCTCTGACAGATCTCTGTCCATTCTTTTATCAGTCTGGCCATATCCTGTGACCCTAATGTTATTTAAAATGTGATCAAAATGATTTATTCTTCCAATTTTTGCTCCCAACTTTCCATTACATTTCACCCATCTCCACATATCATTTTTAATTTTATCATTTTGATATTGATGTATATCCTGCTCTCATGATATATTTCGGTGTTTACTGCAATGCTATCTGAGATCTGTGATCCATAGTAATTAGTAAACAAGCAGTATGTAAACGTTCTCATGTCCTGCTCTTCCTGCAAATGTCCAGTTATTGCATTAAATTAAGCTAATATATTTTCTATTAATTTTCATCCTTAAGCAATTAGTTGCCACAAGGATGCTTTATAACCTCTAATGAACATATGTAGTTTTTCGGAAAACTGAAACAACATTGCGTTAATCATCTGTGAATGAAATGATATCCTTCTAAACTTCAGTGCGTTGTCAACACCATTTAACCTCCAGATCTTTTTTTCAAATTAACTATTCAAAAGCCATTCATGCAGTGAAAGAAATATTCAGATCATGTAGAAAAAATGAATTTTAAAAACTGTATAAGCTGATCACATAGTTCTTTCGCAAAATCAGGTAGCAGGCTTAAAATAAGCACAAGCGCAGCTCCTGATTAAGTAGCACCTATTCAAAGCGTCAATGGAATCAAAAGAGATTAAAAGCTTCATGAAGGATAGATTTATTTAGTGTCTATTAAAATGACGGTCAAGAACAGAGCAGGATGAGTAAGGAAGCAGGCTTTCCTTTCATTTATCGAGGTGGTTTGTTAGAGCTTAGTGGCATTACTATGGCACAGAGGAAAGAGAACTCATATCCTTTAGTAAGAAAAATAGCCGTGCTTTTATGTTCTTGAAATGAGAATGAATTGATCTTTCGTAAAGGAATGTAGAGAAATTGAAACATTTAAGGTCATGTAATTATTGTCCTACAAAGCATCTTTTATGAAAAATAATACTGCCCCAATATCTAAACAAACCCGAAATGGCTGAACTGCTGGAGGAATCTCTTTCTGTGTTGGGAGGAATGGGGAAATAGCATTAGTTTTCTCAGTCTCTTCTATTTAGTATATGCAGTTTGCCTGCTTTAACAAAAGAGGAATAGTAGCAAATCAGTAGAAGCAGCAATATTCATGAGAATACAGCCCTAACTGTGGTTGCTTTTGCAGTTTACTCCAAAAGAAAATCAATACTGCAAAATTCAAGGCAGCAGTCCAGGATCATGCAACCCTGATGTAAATGCATGCCCAAATATTATGCAACAATAAATCATTTCCTTTGTAGTCAGAGAATGTAGTCAAAAGTTCTGTGGTTAATGGCAAAGGATGGGGACGGGCTAGTGGAGAAAAGGAAAATCATTTAAACAGGAATATGTTCTTGAACTTGGCAAGAGATGGCAGTTGTTCAGCTCTGTTGAAATGCACTACATAGGTTCGGTGATTTATATATTTTGTAATACCTCGTTTTGTATTTTTAAGCAGTGTAAATCCTTTATCAAAGGAACTTTGTACAGGGTCATCGTGACATCATTCATTTGCACTGCACTCTGTAAGGAAGGGATATGATGCTGTTGTACAGGTGAGAAGCTCTGTCCAAGTCCTAAGCGATTTGCTCTGGAAGCAACACAATATTAAATCTGGAACAGCTAAGTTTTGTGTGATAACTGTACCACTTTATTCTCAAAGCCGAAACCCAATAAAGCAATATCAATGAACTTTTGTGTTCACATGTGTATTCAGACATCAGTGGTATCCTGGTTCACCTTAGAATAATAACTTCACTAAATGGAATTGCAGGAATCCATAAAATCATTAGGGAGTAAATCCTTGATGTTGTTGCAACTTGAGGAGATTTGCCTATAATAGTACTCTACATCTGGGCACTGTTAGGAAGCATGACTTGCGTTTAGATCCTACCTTTATTGAATTAGAAATGTAACTAACTTTGGAACAATGAAGATTTAGGGTCAAATGTTAAAGGCACATCTCTAACTAAGACTGAGGCATCTTAAATTTGGTTCTATAGGTAGAAAAACGTTTCCTTCCTTCCTCCCTCCCTCTTGCTTGCTTTTGCTGAGAGAGGGAAGGAAGTTCTTGCTCTTGACATTCATTACCTGGGGCAGCATCCTGCAAGGTCCAAATTCCCTCCTTTGGCTCCTGGGACCCTTTGATTTCACGACGGTTATATTCGATACCTTAAGAACTTCATATATTACAAGAGCCACAGGATGAATTGTCACTTAATTAGATAGTAAAAAGTATTTAGAATATGTACATATTAAACATATGAAAAGTATACTAATTTTACTTCATTGCAAACTGGTTTTTCTATTCATTTTGAACTATCTACTTCTGAATTCTGCTCCTCTGCATCTCTAGGTATACCAACAGTCCTGTCCTATAAAACTCAGGTAGTGCGTTGCCCCGCTGACTGAGAAGTGAGATTAGAGGAATGTTCTCTCACTAACAGATTTGCCATTGTCTTTATGCACATGCGACAAAAGTGAATTAAAAAGAAAAATATCAACTGGCAGATGCCCCTAAATGTAGCTATAGGGCACGTCAGCACATCTACCTTGAAAAATATTGCTTTACAAAAATATTAAACGTTTGCACTTTATAAGTAGTTAGAACTTCTGATAATATGCAATTCAAAAATTAATTTGGCAGCTAGACTTAAAAGTTTATACTCTATAGCGTCATTGGAGATTTTTCTGGTCTTTGTCTGACCTGATGAAGGCAGCCATGAGCCCAAAAACGTTTATGGTTCTATTAAATCACCTAATATACCTGGATAAAAGATACTACCTCTCTTCAGATTTTTCTTCTCTTACAAGTATATTCTTTTTTTTTCCCACAGAAAAGTTCTTATTTGCTAGGCAGATATATATCCCTTTTTTTAAGCTTACTATTCTATGTAATGTAATATGGTATCATAGCTATTTTAAGGATATTTAAAATCTATAGAAATAAGCTTTCTGCAAATTATATAAATGACCAATACTACTACACTTCTCTAAACCCCATTAAGATCTATTTAAATCTGCTTTACAGGACTGTTAGGATCCAGCTTCTAATTTATATGCAATTATCCAGTTTAAAATACTGAAAGATATTTCCTTTAAATTACTCAAATGCATGTGCAAATTGAATTAGGTCAGACTGCATCATTTGTGCAGGCATCTATTAATATTCGTGATGCAATGCAGAACCTATTTTCATTTTTAAAGGTTGTTCATAAACTCAGGAAAAAAAAAAAAAACATTAACATGAAGCTTTTATTCCCTCTGACAAATTATGGTGTGTGACTTGTCACGATACTTTGCAATGACTTTGGGGTTGTGAATAGAGCAGCGAATCATGGATATTAGAAGAAAAATGCAGCTGGTGAAACCTGGTCCTTCCTGGTAGCGCTGCGTAGAAGCGGGCTGTCAAACGGTGCAAGCTTGGCTGTACATTAGTGACAAAAAATATTCTGGCGCTACTGGACAAGATGGTTAAAGGCACTCAGCCATAGCACGGCAGAAAGCCTACCGCCATTCCTTTGGAAAAGACCAAACTTCCCCCTCGGTCAGCATGCTGCAGATGGCAGCATATGTGTTAGCAGGTGGGGAAGCCGTTTACTCTTCTTGGCTCCCAGTCCCGATCCCCTTAGATGGTGCTGTGCTGCTCAGTGTCCGTTCTGTGTCCTACTTTGAGCATTAGTTGAAACAGAGCCCTTCAGTCACACAGCGGACGGGGCTGAAGAGCCTCTTTGTGCCTTATTTTCTCCCGCATCTCTGCTGAGTCAGGCTTGTTTCTAAAGATCTGTCTTTAAATCACCAATCTGGCACTGCTGGGGAAAAAGTAATTCTTTTCTGCAGTCAGAAGATAATGTCTCATCAAGAAATCAAGTGTAAAGACATGGAAGTAGTCCTTGGTTTAAAAAAAAAAAAACCAAAAACCCACCCTATTTCTGAAAAAGTGGAGACCAGCAGGTGTTGGGTACCACAGCCTGAAATTCTTGCACTATCTGCCCCTTCTGTCCTACTGTCACCTGTTTAAATCAAAAGTTTAGCTTCTAGGTTAACGGTGCCTCTTTACTGAAGCTTGGTATGTTGCTTCAATGCCCAGGGAGCAGCTTACTCTATGCTTCATAGTCTCTCCTTTTTCCTTTGTCTCTAGAATTCAAAGCTCTTTCTTTCCCCTTCCTCCAGAAAGCAAGCCCTGGATGCACATTGGTGTCTGGTCCTGCAGCTAGCCGGGGCCACTCTCAGAGACGTGGACTTGTCTAAAGCACAGCTTTCGCTTGGAAAGGGTGTTTGACTTGTGCAGTGCCTCTGGAGGGGCGTGTTCGTTTAAGATGGCTGGAGTTTTGGGGGCAGTTAAAGCTCAGTGAAGAGAAAAATGTTATGGTCAGTCAAAGCAGTGAGGGCCCGTACCCTAATGCCTCCTGGACACTAACGCTCCCCCCCGAGGCCACACGGCTTGTGGTGAGAGGAGCTGGGTTCTGCCCCTAACTCCAGCACTGTCCTGCTGGGCGGCCCTGGGGACATGGCTGCACGCGTGAGTGCTTTTACTACCTGTAAAACAGTGATAATGATACTGACCTGCTTTGTAAAAATCTTTAAAAACTAGGAATGAAAAGCATCATTTAAGAAGTAAGCATTATTATCGTTGCTCCTAGCAACTAGCAGCCTGCTTCCTGACAGCTGCAAAAGCAATTCACAAGTGACAAAATCCTTCTCCTAATTTCCACCTCCCCGTCTTTTTTTTCTTGTGAAACTCTTCCTTTCACCCCTTCTTCCAGCAGTAAGTGTCAGCTACGCTCTTACATGATGCAGTGTCGGGGGGAGAGGGAGGAGTCCTTCTGCCTCCTGCTGCTGCTCTGAATTTTTTTGAGGGAAGGGAGGGCTATGAGGGTCCTGGACTGCATTGTAAAAATAGGATTTTTTTTGGATCCTATACCGCTCCAAAGATATTCTTGCACTACTCTAATGGATAATAAACTGATCTTAATGTGGTCTAAATGTCTGCCAGTAACTCAAAAGGTAAATTGAAGGACAGAACTGTAAGTAGTGAACAGTGTTATTATCATTTTACTCCCACCAGAAAATCAAAATCCGTGTTTGTGCAGGCTTACTTTGTACAGCTTGTCATTCCCCTGTGAGAAGTGATGGGAGAAATGCTTGGCACACTGACTCTAAAAGCAAACACTTTTTGAAATTATGGAGTGCATTCCAAGCTTGATGAGGGTATATTAATATGTGTTGTGACAGGAGCTATGTCAAATTCCGTGGTAAAATGAACCAAATTAGGAATATGCTCATATTGTAAGTCATGGGACTGCTATGAAAATGTATTTCCTGCTAAAATAGTGCACACTAGCAAGAGGAAAAACCCATCAAAGTTCTGATAAGACATTCACTTCTTGGGCTTTTACTGATGATCTGAAATTTGTTAACATATATTCTAATGAATTTGCTGGAGTGGGAGAAGGGTGTTGCAAGGTGATCTGCTTTCGATGAGGATGGTGGAGGAGAGTGGAGGGAATAAAGTAAATGTTCCTGAGTCTTCTCTGTTACGTGGTGCCTTGTGGCAGCCAGTGGGTTGAATGCAGAGGCGCTCAGACCCCTACAGACATAACGTGGGCATTATTTCTTTAGGGTGCAAGAACGCTGTTCACATTTTTTCTGTGAGTTTTTAATGAAGATATAAATCTGAATTTGGAAGTGATTTTTAAGTAGAGTTCAGGCCAGATCTCTTCTATTTTGAATTACGGTTCATGAAATGAAACTTGGAATTGTAAAATACAGCCTTGAACAGCAGCCAATAAAACTATGTTCTATAATGTCCTTCAGTGTGCACAACTGAATGTGTCTTGTACCTTGCTGTGCTTTTTTCTGTTAGATGAACATCACTGAATAGAACTGGCACTTACTGTTCTTGTTTGTTAACCTTTTATGTACAAAATAAATTTATTTTTTAAACTTCTTTGGATAAAATAACTTTATTATCTATATCTATCTACATATATATATACACACACACATCCACACAAACATATACGCACCTAATCATATACATACAAGTAACATTTATTTACATTCTCTGGAAAAAATGCTTCTAGAATTTATCTTTCTCTCATATATTGTAACTAATCATATAGAAATAACTATTATTGCTATTTTTTTCAGTTTTAATAACAGAGAGGAAAATGTTTGATTTCCCCATCCTGATTAATTTTTTTCTGGAACTGCTTGAGTTCATTTACAAATTCATTTGTAATACAATAACAACATAACAGCAACACTCCAGTATGCAATGACCCAAACCACCCTCATCTACTCTGTGTCTGCTTGGCACAAGTGAGGGGTGAAGAGCAAATGTGACTTTAAACATAAATTCTGATGTAAATTAGACTATTAATTATTGAAATGCCTTAGGCAGAGCAGGTGTTAACGCTAGTTGTCATCAGTGCATAAGAGGAGTACTAAGGAAGTACTTTAATGTGTTTTTTGTTTGAGCAGTCTGCTCTGAAAACAGTCATGTCATGTACTGCCTAAAAGTTTCAGGCTTGTCTGTCTGGTGGTAGTTAAGCTTAGGTTGCTTAACCTGGCATAAAGAGGAGTCTGTTCCAATACTTCACTGAAAGGTGCAATCTTCTGTGGAAGGGCGTCTCCAGCAGTCTTTCACTGATGAGACATTTAATCAGGATACGTTCATGCAACAGTATGAAGCTGTTACAAAGTGCAGTTAAAGTGTAAAGAAATAGAAAACATGTAAACATTGCAAAACAAGACCTTTATCATGTGCTCCCTTTTTTTTTTCCTTTTCTTCTTTCAAGATGGAATTGCTGTACATTGCTTTTTTTCTTCTCAGAATGTTCTGTCACTTGGAAGTTTTCCTCTTTCATTGTATTTCTTTTCACTCGTTTTTCTCAGCTTATTTGCTTTCAGTCCTGGAGAGAGCCCATTTAAATTTGATTTAAGCTTCTGTTTTGCACGAGGATTTTGTATGTTTATTTTGGACCTTAGCAGTCACAAGCACTGTGGTTGCAGGAGACCCAGAACTGGCCTTGTATTTCCTAAGAGATTCCAGCTACTTTTACTCCTTTGGAGCAAACCATAACAGATCTGAGTGGAAGAAACTTCGCCAGAAATAGATCCCTGGTAAAATCAATGCCATGAAAAATGATCTTTCTCCTCCTTCTTGAGCCTGCTCTGAGACGTCAGGGCCTTGAGCTTCCCAGTAAGCCATGCCTGAGTTTTGAGGAAATCCCAAAGGCCTGGAGCATAGCTAAAGGAAGTGGATTTTACAGAGGATGAACATGTGCATACACTTGAAGTGCCCTGGCACTTCCCTGCCTCACTTCCATCATGTGAGAGGGGAACCTCTGAAGAACCATCCTTGGAAGGAATTCCTACCTTTCCTTCCTCACCTCCAACCTTCTCTTTCTTTGCCATGACTTAACCAATGCTGCATATCTCCCACTATGTCAATCCTAAAATGGGACTAATATCATTCACACGTCCATTTGAAGCTGTCTTTTCTGTTGGACCTTTTGTCAGCTGTACCTATTGTTGCCAGAACGCTAATCCTGAAATGTGATGGGAAGCTGACTTCCCTGGTATTGGTTTATATATGAGAGTTCAGAGGATTGTTCCCATGTTAGTGCTCGCACAGCTCCGTTTCAGCTCCTTCAGCTGTGCTAGATTAGTAGGATCCATGCTGGACCTTCCCTGACTCCTCCAGGTATGGATCTGTGCAACTAGATCCACAAACTCTGCCATCAAACTCTGAAGGGCCTCTCAGGACCTTCTTTTCCTTCGCTGTGACTTCAAAAATCCAGGTAGAGGCATCTAGATGTGATGCCACATTAAGACTTAAAGAAATCGTATGGCCATTTCTTAAATGACAGTAAAAAGCAGATGATTTACCACTGATTTCAAAGTGAGTTATCCACATACACATTTATTACCCACCCTCCTTTTCTTCTCCCTCCAAATTCATGTTTATTCATGGAATAATGGTTTGTTTCACAAGTATTTTGTGTGTTTCATAATGGTTTGCTAATGGATTGTTTCACAAAAACATTATTTAAATAATCAAAGATTTACCGCACATAACCCAGCAGACTGAACCTATTACTGGAAAACAGAAGTTAATCAAAGAGTGATCTACAGTTTTTCTGCCACCTGTATAAGGTAGTTTTCTGTTTCTGCTGATGCCATGCAAATAGTCTCTCCATCCCACATCTGGCCATCTGCCTCTTCAGAGACGTAGAAAACTTGAGATTTATTTGCCTGCAATACCCATGCGCAGCATGAGGATGTTGGTATGACACAAACTTTACAGGCATAACCCCCTAGCATTTCAGGAAGACAGACTCAGAGGTAGTCTGACTGCTCTCCTGACTACTCATTGTGGAGAAGGCCCTCACCTCCATCATGGGCAAAGCTGGCAGGCGTACCCTTGAGGGACAGAGGTATGGCTATGGAAATGGATTCCTGAGTGAGAAGTACTGTGGTTTACAATCTGACTTATGACACTGGAAAGATCTCACTGATGAAGATACTTAGAAGATCATCTTGTTGCGTATAGCTGTCACTCCTTGGTTCGTTGGTAGGAAATGTGATCATAAAGGCCAAAAAAATCCCTCAACATATGTAAAGAGATAAAAATTGTACAAAACAAAATGGAAATATTGCAGTAGTTTCCGTTGTGAATACAGATGCCTCTCCTGCGGCATGCTATGTTGTTTCAGATGTAAGAATAAAAGAAGATTCTTTTTTTATAAATAAAAATAGAAAAATAATTTCTGCAGCCCCTTTGAATGAGTATGCCCACATAACTACAGGTTAAGGATGCCAGGTGATGAACCTGCCAATCAGTTTTAGTCATTTTAAGAATGTCTGGAATTTTTAGTAATTTTGAGAAATGACCTTTTTCATTATATTGATTAACGTGAACTTCTGTTGGCTGACAGTCTGTGTAGGTCAGCATTTAAACATATTGTTTTAAACGGTACAAGGTTCTTGGGCTCACCACTGAAATAATAGGGAAGCATGAGTCTCACTCCCTTGCAGAAAACACAGGATAAAATTTCTTCTGTTTTTGCTTTATTGGCAATAAGACATCAGATAGGAAAATTTAGAGTGAGAGGAGGAGGAGCTGGCACCTTTTTTTGAAGATTTGCTGGAGTTTCTGATCTTCTCAAGTACCACAGTGTAACATATGATACTGAGGATATATTCCTACCAGAGAGTTCTCTCTGGTAATTTTTACAATAATTCTTTTTCCCCTCCTCTCACTCCTCCTGGAGAAAAAGATAAATAACAATACATAAATTAGTGAATTTCTATATGGAAAACACAATTTCTAAATTGAATTCAAAAGTATTCAGAGAAGAAGAATGCCTCACATAGTTTCTTTCATCCTGCCTTCACCAGTAGCCTCTCTCAAATCAAATGGATAGCCTTTAATGTGTCCTGCGCCAGCTGGTAGCATCTTAAAACCTTACTCAGCTCCACTAGCGTACACCGTGTTTGTTTCTGGCCTTGCTTAAGGACAGATGCATTTTCATTTTCTTCTCTCCTGCCATACTGTGTCACTGTGTGATATTCAGATTTCTGATGACAGCTTACAAAATCGCTAAGAGCTCTCCTCTTAGTCCAATCAATTTTGTTTGTCACTGAAAGTAAAGTTTAGGCATACGTCTTTTTCAAGTCAATGAAGATTTCCCTGATTTTTTTTTTCTTCATTTGAGTCATTTATTTCAGAAACATAGTTGCTTTATCACATTTCTTTTCTCTCATCCCATCTTAAGGCAGTG